AGCAGCAGCAGCAGCAGGAGCAGCTGTTGTTGCTGTACCCCTCAAAGCTTGGACGCTGTACCACTAACCAGCTCCTGCAAGATCGGTATTTCAGGCATCGTCCACTGAGATACGGACTTCCGTGGACCTGCAGCAACAAGCTAATGTTGCCACGGGTGGCTCTAGTCATCGGCATCAGCAGCAGCATTAACAGTGAACAGAATCACTATGATAATTATGAAGAGGAGGAGGAGGAGGCGGAGGAGGAGGAGGAGGAAGATGGCCATCATCATGATGACCCTGACGACGATGCTGCTGTCGCTGACAACAGCAGGAATAAGCGTTTGGACAGAATCGCAACTCTCACGATACCGAGGCGAGTGACAAAGGCGAAACTGCATTCAGCATCCACCTCACGAGGAACAGCTCTTCTAGGAAACAGCAATGTTCTGGTTGCTACATCTGCTCTTGTGAATGCTAAAGCTGTCGCCGGGAGAGCTTCATCAGCCAGCCAAAGGTCAAGAACTTTGCTTGTCTAGTTGTCTCTACTCGCTGTGTTTGAACCACGTTTCTAAGAAATACGACGGTGTCCTTCGTCATTCATATGGGTGGGACTGCTGCGACAAGCATGACTAGCATGTCTGCTGTTTGTATCGCGTCTGGTGTGCAATCTATCGCTTGGCACATCCTATTCTGTATGTTCTGCCGGCGGTCTTAAATTGCATCATAAGTCTGACGGCGTATCATCAAAGATGTTGCTTCTGATATTATTTCTTCTTCACTCCCCTTATGCCTAGCCTTCCTCCTCTCGTTGGTGTGCATACTCGTCTATTGAAGGTTTCCTTGGTTCTCGAGTCTGGTGATACTTTTCTATGGTTCACTGCTCCTGTTCTTCTCGAAAGCGTTTCCTGTCTATGGCAACACGTGCGGCGGGGTTTCAGCACGTTTCCAACGAAGACTAGCCCAAAGCTTCAGATAATGCTCACTGGGCATCCTTCCTCCTACACGCGGGGACGGCAAATAAACGCAAATTCCGGAGAGCAAAGCTTGAACCTTCGCTTTCAGAACACCACAGCCCACGGACAATGGAAGCCTTGCCCATCTTGGAATGCCGAGACACCTGCACGAGGCCATGAGAACATACCTAGTCTGAAGCCACACAACTCATATAAAAAACCGAGTGATAAAGATGAAACCGATGCTGATGATGATGATGATGATGACGAAGATGAAGAAGATGATGAAGAGGAGGAGGAGGACGACGACGAACCGAAAGATGATGCTACACCTTTACTTGCTTACGATCTTTTGATGCGAAAAACCCTGACAAACCTGAGCCACCAAGGCCTTTGAAGCTATTCTGTTGCCGACTGCTGACTGTTTGACTCATATGAGCTGACAAGGCTCACAGTCGACAATTACATAACCAGCTAGGACCGCACATGATCACACTGCAGATGAGATTAAAAAACGTAGAGCACTTCTAAGAATCCACCAGCGACCCGATGAAGCCTTCTAATCACCTTTACAACCCATGAAAAACCCAACCAAAAAACTCAAGGAAATTGGAGCACAAGGCGGCCTCTCTGCAGTTTCGACAGCTTGGGCTTTTGGGCCGCGGCTGCGGGAAAAAGCAGCGAAACAGTGCGAAAAATTCTGAGTTTCAGGGTTTAGGGTGTGGGGTTCAAGAGCGGTTGGAGGTTAAAAACTTGAACCGCCCGGCTTCAGATCGCATCCGACGCGTCGGGATGCATTGTTCAGGAGGCGGGCCGGGGATGAAGTGCTGCGTCGGTTCTGAGGCGATGCTCTTCAATCCGACAACGTGATTCATCAAGTGAATAAACAAGTACCACAAACACTGTCTCAATTCAAAACGTGTCACACAACACTCAATTGCACTTGAAGTACACGATACCTTGCTGCCCCTCCTTTGAGATGGATCCTGCAGGGGAAGCTTTGGATGGGTTTCATGTGATACCTGCTGTAAACCCGAACGTAGAACACCTAAGCCGCTCGAATGTCAGCCTTTGGTTTCGAGTTTGGGGTTCAAAGGCTTGAACAGGTAACTTTAAATCCCCACACTCGAAATCTGAACCACCCATCTGGATTGCTGTGTCGGATCAGACAACGCGATTTGCAAGGGGCTTGGTGCATTGCAACATTGACAACCTCCTGCGGCCCTTTACATTCAAAGCACGGTTCAGGAAAGTGTAACACCAAGCAACAACAAAAGGCTACGGTTTCACAAGTGCGTAGCATGAAGCAAAGTTGAAAGGGAACACACTGAAGATTCAGGAAAGTGTTACACAACGCTACAACGAAAAACTACGGCTTTCTAGAGTCTTAAGCAAAGCGAGTAGTCACGACAAACAAGCAGGTCTCGACACAAAACACTCGCTCGCTCTGCTTTTTGTTGCGGCTTGCCGGAAAGACGACTGCAGCTCAAAGCACAGGACCCGTTCGACCCTTTGTCAACAGCGGGCCCCAGAAATTAAGCTGCTGTGCAGTCGTTTGTAAAAGCCCGTATCGAAGCATACAGAGTGAAGCAACAGCGTATACGTACGAAAGCATACAGAGTGAAGCAACAGCGTATAAGTATGAAAAGTGTCACCGCACGGATGCTATGTAAAGCAGGCAGCGATTGCACAGCCGACAGGGGAAAAGCTTGCCTGTAGCCTTGAAGCCCAACGGTGTTTTGCTTTGCTTTGCGAGACTCCAACGCGTCGACGCATTGTGAGAGGACGACACTCAGTGCCACTGTGGGCATTGAGCGGCCATTCAGCTGATGGTATCCAAGATATGGCAACTCGTTTTGAGTGCCATGCGTAGCCAGCGTACCTAGAGGTACTTCCTAAACGCAGATCAGAATAAAAGTTGTCACTGCGGATCACAAGTCTTGCTGTTTGGAAAGAACAATAACATAAACATCCGAGGAAACAGTATCAAAATCATGAAGTAAAATCGGTTTGATGTGATCACCGCAGTAGTGCAATTCTCCACTGACGTCGTCATACAAGAGAGCTCTGTAGTGCCCTGATGTAGGCGAATCCCCTAAGTGCACAGCAAAGGCATGAACAGCGTAGGTAGTACGATAGACTTCATTCCAACAGAGCCAGTTCCTATCAAGCAACAACTCCGTCTGCAGAAAGTATGCGGTAGCCCCTCCATGGGAGCCCTTCGGTACAGGTCAATCATGGGGGGTCTGACACGAGGAACCATGATTAAGACAACTGTCCGGACTTCCTCTTTCAAGTGCAAGCGTGCAGTCTGACTTCCAATTCTTTTCCCTGGCTCTGATGATCATCGCACACACACAAAGCACACAACCTCCGCGACTGGGCGCTCGGCTGACTGCTTGCGTGGGAAGCGTGGGGGGACTTTGGAAGAGTCACCTTCGACCGGCAGCCGGGCGTCGGCTTCGGCATAGGGCAGGACACACCGCGAGTGCCTGCAGGGACGAAGGGGCACAGAGTTGTGATTCTTCAGTGCTCTGGTGCTCCCCCGTCAGCTTCTGGCGATTCGCACTATGCACATCTGCTCTAAGTAACAGCTGTGCTGACGACCTTTTTTGAAGCTGCGACGTCGCTGTGCACATCTGACTTGAAAAATGCTGTGTTGACGATGACGTCCTATGCACGATGTGAGACGGGAAACGTTGCATTACATGTCAAGCAGAACACATAAACATAGATGCACACATGCCAATACACATACGCAGCACATATACGTGCAAGCGTATACACACACACACAGAGAGACAGTCATTTGCGTTCGTTACTTACACATCCGTACATACATACATACATGCATACACACACACACACTTTTACACATACTCTGACAGGAGTAGATGCACAGATGCAGCAACAGACATACATGTGCGTGCTAACATAGTGAGATGTGCATATGGTACACATCTGCCCGCACTTAGGTGGGCAAGTGTGGCCGTCACTCCAACAGAAAACGATCTCTCAGCTGCATCGCCATGGCGTTGTCCAGGCGAGTGCATCCAATACCCGCAGATCTTGAGGGATAGGCTCAGGACAAATTCCGAAGGTAAAGCCGATTCCTAGTGGCACCCAGAGGAAGACCATGAGCATGAGGGCACCGGTCTCGTAGAGCAGCCAAATCTTATCGTTTGTCAAGTAGCGCGCCCCATGCAGACGCAGGGGTGTTCGGTTGGAGAGGCCGCGTGAATCCTTGCAAAGCAGCTGCTTGATATGAAGCGAGTGGAGCTTTGCATAGTGCTCCGACATGCGGCTCCTCCATGGGTCCAGAGGCAGGAAGTTCAGAGCTACCACCGCATCTTCCAGCAGCTCGAAGACGAACAGCACCCCGGCCAAGATCAGTGCCTGCTCATTGAATAGAAGCTTAGTGGTCCTCGCCGGGATAAGTTGTTGACCAATGGCATTCACTGCAATGAAGCCGAGAACGCCCAAGAAACGGTAGTAGCCGGCATGGAACCTTGCATGTCGGTGCATCATTGCAACACAGCCAGGTCGCACCAAATGCAAGAAGCGCTTAGGCAGCAACAACGTGAACACGTAGGTGTGGAGTCCATAGCGCTGACTAACGTTGCCCACGAAGATCATCGCAACGGTCCCCAGCCAACTCCACCTCCAATCGTTGCTGAGGATTGCCGTCGCCAGCAGATTGGTCAAGCGCACGGACTCACAAATCCCATGGGCAAATGCCAAAAGGCCGCTGAAATACTCCATCTGATCCCCCACCACGGCCTGCTCTGCTGTGTGGTCCGCACGTGGCCGCCAGACCAGGCGATCGTAGAACGCCTGCAAGGCAGCCACGAACGTCAGTTCTGCGGTACTGGTGGTAGTGGTCAGAAACAGGCCTGCTGCATACGAGTTCCACGGCTCCAGCCGTCCATAGGCGAGGGTAATTAACCACATGGTGGCCTGGATCAGACTGCGCGACCAGTTCAACATGCATGTGAACAGCAGCTGCTTCTTGAAGTCCTTGGGCTTTGCAGCTGTTTCCGGGGGGCTTTGACAGGGCTTGCTGCCTTGATTCTCCCTGTAGAGGCTGTGCATCAAGTAGAGCTCCACAAGCGTCCAAGTCTCCATCATTACCAGGAGAACAACGAAGTAAGGGACATGGTAGTAGCCGCCCAAAATGAACATCCCTGGTATGGGACACAAGCAATATGCAACTACTGCTGCGACTCGCACAGGTAGAGCCCGCCTTCCTGGATCAAAGCCCAAATATGTCTCTGAAATCGCCCGGTGAAGTTGCAGAGGCAAGACCACCAGAATCCAAGGGGTCGTCACGACCCGCCACCATGCAAACTGCCCAGGCTGGAGTTCCGGCTCCAGGCGAATCGATGGTAGGTAAAAGATGATCATGCAGACAACAAAGTATACCGTGCAGTAAGCAGGATTCCCACGATGCATAACCATGGCTGGTTTTGCATCCTCAGCAATCACCTCCACATCAGCAGCTTGTGCCCAGACCAGGGAGCCACGCAGCTGTTGCCAGCTTTTGCTCCGATTGCCCGGTGCAGCATTGTCTGCCAGCAGCACGCCTCCAGACATCTGCCACACCACCGTCACTTGCCCGGGCTTATTTGGCTCGCCCGGCTGGCTTTGCAGCACGCGGACGCCGGTGGGCCGGCCCCGGCCATCGCGCATGAGCTCGTACCACTGCCCGGTCTCCAGATCCACGATGTCAGGGCCGATGCGGATCAGTCCTCGACGGCGGCACCGAAAGCGGCGCTGCAGTGAGCGCACAGCTGTAGAAGGCGCGGTTTGAGGCTCTGGAGGATCCCAGATGAAGGAGTCCTCATGAAACATGGGCTCCAAGTTTTCTTCCAGCTCATCTTCCAGATCCTGCGCACCCTCCTCCTCCACGGTCTTCTCCGCCTCCGCTGCCGCTGAGCAGCTCTGCTGGGGCTTTGGGGGCTGGCTCGTGTGCAAGAGGCACACTCTGCCGCCAGCTGCCAGGCGCCGTTCTAGCAGCAGCTCCGCACGTGGCCCGTCGCCGACAATGATCAGGTTCACGTCCAGCAGCCGAACTTTCATTGCAGCAAAGCCAGTTACTCTAGTTGCAAGCTCTCGCCGCTCTTCGGCGGAGGGGCTGCTCAAAAATCACTGTAAAACGAACGGGCATGCCTTGTGCAAGGTGCCTTTGGGCAGCTCGCGGCAGCTTGACGAGCCATTTTAAGCACAGCGCTGCGCACTTTTCCGACAGACTACCCACATGGCAGGGAACTTTCAAATTGAACCTCAAATTTGTGATGGCAGGGAGACTTGCGGGATCCGGCTCCTGGCACCTCCGCGTCGTTTCGGGTCTGTGCATCCAGCAGCTGCAATTCCTACGACAACCGTTTTTAGGGTTTAGGGTTTAGGGGTTTAGGTGCAGGGCGTTTCGGCGTGTTTAGTGCTGGCTTGCGTGATCAAGGGCTTTGTGCTAATGGGCATATGTAGGGTTTAGGTCTTCGAGTAATTCAGGGTGTTTGAGAAGGAGTAGGTCGGGGGGTGTTTACAGGCCTGTAAGGAAGAGAGAGCTCAAGGTGTTTACGTTTAAGAACAGTTAGGGTTGCCGTTCAGCTCGTCAGTGGGGCCTCGGCAGAGAGCTCCGTCCAATACTGCGGGCCGGGAGCGTGGCGGCACCATCTACCGTCTAGCAGAATCTCCCACCACGCATTTTCGTTGGAGCTGAAGAAGAGCACGGCATTCTCCTGTTTAAGAGAGGAGGAGGGCCAACCACAATTCAAACTGCCCAGGGCCCGAAGCGCAGTGCTGACTACGACCAGGCCCAAATGGGTCTGGGATACCACTGATCGCCATGAACCATGCCTTCAATGCCGTGACCCGATGTGTCCTATTTGCGTTGTCTGAGCTGTTCGAAGAGATCCAATCGGCGGACTGGGTCGTAGCCGGGACAGAAGGCCCAACGACGCTTCTCATACCTGAGCTTAGGCGCACATATGGGCTCCAGGACCTTTTTTCAAAAGCCTAGAAAGTGATGAAACCGATAACCCCAAAACCCTCTCGAACTGGATAACCCTACAACCCTGCATCTTGACGAGGAGCTGGTAATATGCGAAGGTCTGCGGCATGCCACCCTGGGCTCTTATAACACATTTGCATCCGGCCGGCCCCATGATATTATGTACTCGGCATGTGTGGTTTGCATGGGTCTGAATGGTTGTAAGGTTCAAGGGAAGATAGGGCAGTTTAGGGTTTAGGGTGCTGGAGACAAGTATCTACGGTGCGCGGGCAAGGAATGAAGTTTGATTGGCAGTTAAGATCAGTGGCGTGAAGTGGGGCGAGGAGGAGGGGCCGTTAATTTCTTTGCTTGCTAGCATCAATACAAGTGAACACCAGGGTTTATTGCATTGCAACATCTCGGGAACTCGACAGATCCCACGGACAATGCACGCATTGTGTGTGTGTGTGTATAGGTTTAAGAGGTCAGGGGTTCAGGGGTCTCGGTCTTGGGAGTCTATAGGGATTTAGGAATAGGTTCCGGCTTGGGGGTTCACAGCTCAAGGCTACACTAGCTTTAGGACACTCAAAGATCTTCGGGTTTGCGTTTGCTTGGCTGCTAGCTGAGGCCCACGACTCTCGGCTCCGAAGCCCGAAACCCGTTCGTGCGAGAAAGCGGCGGGAAGGTTTCCTCGGCTCAGTGGACTTCGGGGGAGGGGGCATCGAGAGACCCGAAATTCCGCAGGAAGGGCTTAGGGCCTTTGGAGGATTACAGGGCCTGGCAAAAAAGGGCGGACCTTCAAGGGCCCAGGATCGATCAGAAAAACGAAGCCCTGCATGAACCGCAAGCTTTGAGGGAGGTTAGGGGTTTTGAGCGTTGCACCCCCGTGATTCGCCTAAGCTAGCCTGTGGTAGCTCTCCTATTTACTATACTTTTTTCTGAAATCCCTACACCCCTACACCTCTGAAGCCCTTCTGTAAAGCCGCCCATGCGACGTCAGTAGATTGCCGCTTCCTTCCAGAGCTCGCGTAGGTGTTACGGCACTTGCACCTGGAGATCACGAAGGCTTCTGGGCTCGGGTTATTTCGGCTTGAGTTCTTTTTGTTAACTCGGGGCGCACGGCTCAAGGCCTTAGGGTTTCGTGGTAACAGGCATGTATTTAGGGACAGGTTAGGAGTCATCAGGGCTTTGAGAGTTTAGCCTTTAAGCCCTGGGACCCGTAATCAAATGATCAGCATTCCGCTCGGAACTTGCAACCCCCTCACCTAACCCTCCCCTGCGGCTCCTGTGAATGCTTTTTTGTCTTCTCCTCCTTTTTGTTTTTCTCTGATCTAACAAGCCTCCAGAGTTGGAGCTCCTGATCGTACACCGGCAGGGCCATTTCTGCATGGCAGTTTTTGTTCCTCGGATTCGGGTGTCGGGTTCAAGGGTAAGGGTTGAGGGCCTGGGGTTTTAGGGTCCAGGGGGTTCAGGGCTTCGGTTTCCTTCAGTTTGTCCACTGTGAAGCACTCTACGAAACTCGGCCACGGAAAGTCTACGAAACACCTGAACTCCTGGGGCATCCTGGGCTCACGGATCTTCGGCGGCTCGGGCAGCGCCGGTCGGGACGGCCCCATGGCGATGACCCGAAAGGTCTACTCAAACCCTTAGGGTTTGGGGTTTAGGGCCCCAGATGACATGAAAAAGAGCTTTGATGCAGGGTTTCAGGTTGAGGGCTTAGGCATCCTGGGCTTCGGGATCCCAATCCTTCCCAATGAGACTCCCGTGCTCTGAGGTTTGCAGCGGGGATCGAGAGATTTCTAAGGTTCTGGGTTCGGACGGGGTGGCAACTGGCTACAATGTTGCAGAGAAGTGGGCAGACGATCTTCAATCTACAAAATATCACACACACACACACACCCTTTTCCTGTGTTGGTATGCCAATTTACAACATCCAGACGGAAGAAGTCCACAAGGGCTTGGCTCACTTCGCCGGTGATGCACGCACATCCAAACGTGCGCCTCCAATAGTTTTACAGGCTAAGCTTGACTTCCTCGGGCCGCCCCTTATCTGAATACAAGAACCCCCCCCTTCCAAGTGGTGCCCGAGCCCAAAAAATGACTTTGGACACAGCTCTTTTGTCTGGACCTCATCCCACTCGAAGGAGCCACGTCTGGACGGTTTGGGCACGTCAAGGGCCTCCTTTCCCTGCATTCGTCGGAAATCTATCCGCCCTGACAGCTGCTTCCGTTTTTGAAGCTTGTGCTCCGCCATGCGCATGCGCTGGTGCCCGGCAATGGCAAGAAGACATGACTCCCCGGACCGAGGCCGAGAGGGCCATTGACTTTTCAAGGCCGTTTTCCAGGGCCAGGGGTTTGACATCGTCATCTCATGGCGGCTTACTTTTTGAAAATCCGGCTTTGCTTTGGAGCCAGGCCCCGTGTGGTGTTCAGCTTTGTTGTCCTAGGACCAGAGTATCAGACTCTTCAAATCTCATCAATCTACCCTATGCCATCCCTGTAAATTCAATGGGTCAGTTATTCAGGTGGGCTTCTGTTTTCTGATCTCATTTGGCAAGATTGTCTGAAGCGGCCGAATGGAAACCTCACAGAATTTGGGCAGCCCTTTTAAATCCTAATTACCTCCGACATCCTAACTTCCTGAACCGCAGCATTGCCAAGAGGCTCTGTGCATGCACGAGCACACTTCCGCGCTGCTGGCGGCTGTGAATGTAGTGCAAAGAAGAAAAGATGTCGCTTCTGCTTAGGAGAGCGACGCGTCTGCGGCAACCATTATAGCCCGTCCGTAGCCAGTAACGGCGTAATGGTGCCATGTAGCGCACCACACAAAAGCTGCTGACCAAGGGACGAAACAGACCGCATGTTACTGAGCAGCCTTGGCAGTTGAAACTGTGATGACGGAGACCGGCACCATCTTTAGCAAAGCACGACAACAGGTCCGATTCTTCACGAATGGGAGTTTCCGCAAGATGCCTCTGTCTAGCTGTGACGTGCGATGCCCCTCAATGGGCGGAGTCATCAGCCTGAATTTCAATCGCTGGCCGTGAGCAAGAGACAACGATATCTTCACCGTAGAACTTTCTGCGTTTCAAGTTTTGTGAGTGTTGAGAACGCCAAGAGTCCCCATGCCCCCCTCAGTGGGGACTCCACTCCGGAATTCGAGCTTTTTTGGAATGCGGGAGTCTGCTAAAGTCTCATTTTGCCGAAGCAAGAAGGCTGCACCAGTCACATGGTCGTTAGGATTGCACTCCATATGAGAAAAACTTGAGAGAACTATGCCGGATTATCTTGTTTAGTTTGTGAAATTGCACAATAGTGTTGCTGTCGT